ACAATGATAGTAGTAAGCTAAGAAGTCATCTCACCCCCACCAGCAGGCAAGGTGGGTGAAGTATCTTGCCCAAGGACAAAATGAGCTGGACAGATCAGAGTTCAAGCCGACAACTCACCGGTTGTATTACAGCACAAAAGCCTACCCTCCTAACCATAATCTCTCATTTCACAGAAATGAAAACATTTACAATGTCCATCAAGAACAACTGTGGACAAGACGCCTCCATCTATGTTGCTCTGTTTACATCATAAACTCTGTTCCTCCAGGAGCAGAAAGGGATCTTTAAGGCCCCACTTAGTGGCGGAATTAAATTTAGGGGAACATGCCATTTCGCTCAGCCCATCTCACTCCAGTTATTAGACAGTAAAGCAATCAACATGGCGCCACGTGCCAATTCAAATATTCGCCCTTAAGCGTCCATCCTACGTAACATAGAAGTAGATCACATATAACTTTTGTGGGATATTTTACCATTTCATAAACTGATGTTTTCACTGAGAAATAATGAACAGGAATATCAGTTTGTCTTCAATCCTGTCGAGCCTCAGCAGACATCGTAGCTAAGGCTCAGGTTGCAGCATGGTTCATGCTGGGTGAAATGATCCACTATAATCTGCATTTGTAGTCCAGAACAAATGCAGATTGAGTAAATTGTATTAGTTTTTTACGTGACTATTCTTACAGTTAACAATTGTAAGTTATAGTGTGGGTATAACTTACTCTTAAATTTGCATTTACCGATGAACAAATATAATGAAGTACGTTTCAAGTATTTATAATTTAACTTGTCATAGTTGTTTTTCACAGCATATACAGCTCTGGAAAAAATTAAGACACCACTTAAAATGATCAGTTTTTCTGATTTTACTTTTTATAGGTATATGTTTGAGTAAAATGAACATTGTTCTTTTATTCTATGAACTACTGACAACATGTCTCTGAAATTCCTAGCAAAAATTTAGGATTTATTTTCAAAAAATGAGAAATTATTAAAACAATAAAAAAAGGCCATGCTTTCACATCTCACATAATGCAAAGAAAACAAGTTCATATTCATTTAGAAATGGTAATACTAATGTTTTAACTCAGGAAGAGTTCAGAAATCAATACTTGGTGGAATAACCATGAGGTTTTCAATGGGGTTCAGTGACGTGGTTTCTTAATTTGTTCCAGACCTGCATATGTAGATCATTCTAGCCTCATCCTAATATTTCTATTTTTTTTGTCTTTCAAATATTTTTTAGAACTTTATCTCCATATTTTCATTTTGTTAATTGATTTTAATATCTGTTCTTGGAGGGTCTAACCAAAATTTAGTTGTTTAATCTGACTAATGATGAAAAGAATAGATTTTATTTTGCAGGTTTCCATATCTCCATCTTAGTTAGTTCTTAGTCTACTCCACAATAGGCACCTGTGTGTATTCCTAAGTCACTCTAGTTGATTTAGACTGATTTCTACAAGTTGGGTTTTCACAGGTTCCATGTGGGCCTCGGTGTGAATGATTACAGGACCACTTCATTAAGCATATCCCACTCGAGAGCAGTGCCCTAACAGCAACACGGTAATGAGGATGTCCACAGCCTATCACCGCTCTCCCGCCCACAGCTACAGCAACATCTGCTCTGTTGCACCCAGAGCATCAGGTGGGATCCATGGTTTTTGAACAAACACTGAAAGCCCAAGTGTGTCTCCGTTTGTGTGTGCAAGCTGTGGAGTAACTAGGGAGACTGGTGCGGGTATGACTAGTGCCTTGAGGAGCGCAAATATGGGAATATGTAACTCCCACCACAGCCTTTTCAGACGGCAGCCTATGTGACTCATATGTGTCAGTAAGGCTTTTCCTCTGAATGAAAAAAAAACATATACAGATACCCTGCAGAGGGTAGAACTACCACCACAGGGGCAAGAGTAAGTGTGAATAGCCTGTGAGAGAGTGCTATTCCCTTCATCATGCTTCTGCCTGCCTCAAGACCGAGAGCACAAATTCATTTAAAAGTAACAATCTTAAAAGACACATTATCCAAATCATGTCTTCTTCATAAAGTTAGAATCATGCAGTGAGAGTGTCTCCATTAACTTACTGTCTGGTTACTCCATTTAAACCTCATCTACACGCTCATCTTTTCTCGTAGAATCAGATGTGAATGTGAACACCTTGTTAGAGAGCTAACATGTCTGGGAGGGAAAGAATTGGAAGCAGCTCATTATGAAAAGCAGGCTAGCTGCAGCATGTAAAGAAAATGTCAAAACCATAAGAGTAATAAACAATGGCTGTTATTTAAAATATGAAAGAGCAAATGTTTTTATCATTGTCTTAATTTGTAAATCAATTAGCAAAGAGAAAAGCTAAAGCTACAATTTATCTGTTTAAACATTTGAATAAACTGGTGTTAAAGCTAATTGACCCCATCCACCCTGCTAATAAAACAGTATGCTAGATTGGATCCCGAAATGAGATTTGCTTCGGAAACATGTGGACAATCTGCCCCACTGTGATCCCCATTTACTGCTCATCCAGCTCTATCATGTCTGTGCTGTAATTACGCCGCATCCTAAACGGCAGCAGATTCAGCAAATCTCTCATCGGCATTATAGACTTACAGTGATTGGGCTACGGGGCTGATTATCGTGAGGCTCAGAGACGCTAAAAGGACGGGGAGGTGGGGTGGATTGCTGGAATTACAATACTGTTTCCGTAGTCAAAATAGTGCTGAAAGACTTTTTATCATTCTGTATCATAACATAAAAATGTTCTTGAATAAAATCCGGTAAAAAAAAAAGAAAAAGATTTGCCTTCCAAAATCACCAAAATGGCAAAATCCAGATTGAAATCCAACTTGGAATCTGATTTGAAAATTAATTTTCTCCTTCCACATTCTGAGCTATTTTGCAATGAGAAATTGGTAGGAAGGAAAAGGTGGTTCTGCAAAGTTTTGATTCAGAGTGCCGATTACAAATCCATGCCACACTTTTCATATTTTAATTTGTAGAAAATCTAATTGAATTTTCTTCTATGTCACAATTATCCACTATTTTGTGTTGGCTTATCACATAAAATCCCAAGAAAACACATTAAAGTCAGGGGTTGTAACATGATTAAATCTAACAAGTTCTACTTTTGAAAGATTACATATGACCTACATTTCACCTCTAAAACATGGATTAATCCATATTCAGTGAGCAAAAACCTGCCCACTGCTAATATTAACATCTTGTGATGTTAATATTAGTCTTAATAGTTTAAACAGAAACAGAAACATGACTAATAACCACAGACAAACAGTCTCAAAGCCAAGCTAGACGGTTTGCATCTTTGTTCACATGGTGAAGACAAGAAGGACCTGGGAACATATGTGATAATGTAGAGTGCTCTCCTCCTCTTTATCAGCTCTAATGATCAGAGCTGTGAGGATTAGGTACCAGTGTCCCAGTAAAGAAGCTTTGTGATGCCAAATGTAGGACCACTGGCTCCCTTAATCTGCCTTATTTGTTCAGCCACAGATGCTACAGCTTCTTCAGATTGGATTAAATGCGCTAGAACGGTGTGGAGCGCCTTCCTGTGGCTGAAGGAGGAACTGCATGGGAGACGCTGGGTAGCAAACATAGGAAACAATGGAATAGCAGATAAAAGGCCTAAACATAAAATAGAACTCTGTATCAAAAGTCCTATGAATTAAAGTAATGAAGCAAAGCTGTGACAAAATTTATACTGGTTGACAAATTTGTTTGAATCAACATTAAAACAATGATGCAAACTTTGCTCATTTATGTCAGCCTTTAATACCAACTGTGGATAATCACCATTTTATTTCCTTATTGCGGAAGTAATTTTATAGGTTTTGCTATATTGCACTACGCAATAATGCATTTGAAGTCAGACATGATGTGTGCATGAAAACTCACCAAGCCTCTGACTCGTCAATTCATAACCTTTCCTTTTCTGAAAAGAGAAAAGAAATCTGAGGTTTGATTCTCACTGTCACCTACAAAGGAAGTCAGGAGACAAAAAGAGTGGAGAAATCTTGTCGCCACCGGACACTGCACACATGATCACCCACAAGATTCACGGTGCTTCCCCTGTTTTTATACTCTCGGGCTATGGAACTAACACAGCCAAAGGGATGAAGAAACAGGAATTGTACCTAATTGGGTCATTCACAAGACCCAGTGCATGACAGGCGGAGCACCGGAAACCTATCTGTCACAGTCTCTCCCCACGTTATACAAGTTGTCCAAACTATAGGGATTAACTTCAATGAGAGAAGTTGAAAGCATGTGACAGTGTATCTAGGGACTCATGCGGCTATCAGTGTGAGACACTGTTGTCTCTGTGCGAAACAGGCAGCATGGAGAAGGCCTGTAACATTGATCTCGCCTTACCACTGGGATCTTCTTCCTCTTTCTCTAAATGAAATGAAATGAAATGAAACTGTCTAAGGCAAAGCGGAAAGGAAGAATGTCTTCCTTTGTCGGCACATGGAAAAAAAAAAGGAATTCAGTTTCTGTTTTTTGTTGTGCAGATTAAATTGATGCGATGATGGAGAACATTTCCAACGGAAATGCAGTCGTTTACATGTGTTTATATGGAGCTAATGATTCTTGGATGTTATTTAAATAACCATCTTATGTGACTGTAACATGCTGTATTTCTATGGTTTGTTAGAAGTAATGAGATACCTCTTCAGAAAAATACATGTCATTTTTGTTGTGTTGTGAGTGTATTATATTTTCAAAACAATTGATAATGAAATGATAACCAAAGAAAAACGATTATGAAAACATTACCTTTAAAAAATACACTGCATTAAAAAGGTTAAAAGCACATATTATGCCTTACAAATAGATGAATCGCATTTTCTCATCTTACAGCTATAATTCTTCATGTATTTTAATAACATGCAACAAAGAATTCCATAATTGTAAAGCGAAAGGAAAGGTATACAAGGTTTTCTCCATTTTAAAATTCTTTTATACTCTCATATACTCTTTTATACTTTCAACAGTGGCTTATTTTATATTAGATCAGATAGAACTTTATTAATCTCTCATGAAGGTTCCTCTGGGTCTTCAGTTTCCAGCAGCAGCATACTGACAGAGAAAACTTTTTAATCTCCTGTAAAAAAAATAAAAAAACACTATTGTGACTTGAATGTTTATCCTTTCATCAGATTCTCCCATTTGATAGGAGACTCTCTACAGCTCCTCTAGGTATTCCTTTCTGACTGGATTCATAATTTAGTCGGACAGCCATATCTTGATAGGTTCAATTTGTGTCCAAAGTTTTCTATTTTTGTTTGATGCACTGATATAGTTTTGGATATTGTTCAATAACCACGTTTTAAACTTCTCCACAACTTTCTCCCCGACTTGTCTGCTGTGTTTCTTGGTCTTTGCGATTCTGTTAGTTCAATAATGTTCCCTAACAAACCTCTAAGGGCCTTCATAGAACAGCTGTAATTAGACTGAGATTACATTATACTCAGGTGGACTGTTTACTCAGTTTACTAATTAGCCGACGCCTAAAGGCATTTGGCTGAGGTGGGTTTACTTCATACATATCAGAGTAAAGTGGTATAAAAACAAATGCACATCACACTTTTCAGATTTTTATTTATAATTTTTTTAAAAGCATACATTATTTTCCCTCCAATTCACAACGACATATTACTTCTACTCTCAATGGAGAACAAATAATAACTCATAACAAGAAAGTTAGAATTATGACCAAATCTATACTGAATCATCAGTCATTCTGGTGGCTTATTAAAAATGCATAATATAATGCCAATTCTGTTTGCTTAATCTTTTCAATAACCAAGACAAGAACGTTTGATAGGCAGAAAATTTTAGTTTAACCATGCCAATCTCAATCTTACAAAGAGCTTTTTGCTCTGGATAGTCTGGATGATACATCTGTAAGGCTGTGTTGAGTTATGACAGATTTTTTTACATACATTTCTCAGTGACACATCCACTTTGCACCTACAAATGTATTTTAGACTATACACTTCTTCTATGGCCCAAATTACTCAATTAATATTATGCACAAATATGCTAACACCATCAGGAAAAAGGTTAACATTTAAAGAAAAACTTTGAATGGTGTGCTGAAAAAAACACAAGTAATTTGTAAATATTACTACTACTACCACTAAAAGTGATAATAGTTCATTTTACATTCACATACTTCATACATAATTTCTGATGTCTTAGTCTGAAATAAATATAAAAATGATACCTTAATCTTTTTTAAACTTTGTTTTGCCACTGAAATTCTTCACACTTTGATACAACCAAAGAAGCAGAGTATATTCAATAAGAAATGCTTTCAGTCAAGCTAAATGGCAAAAATCAAAAGAAAAGTCATTAAATCAAAGCCAACACTGATTTTGTTGTGTGCGTGCCCGTTGACACTTCATCTCCCGCAAACGGCAAACACAGTGTCCCGCATACGCAAAAACGTCAAACATATCTTCACACAGTGTTTTGC